TCTTCTTCTTCTTCTTCTTCTTCTTCTTCTTCTTCTTCTTCTTCTTCCATATCTGTCATCGTGCATGGGCGATCATGTTGACAATCCTGTTTTTATCCAGAGATGCACAAAAAAGTGCTGTTGAGTTTAGTCCAAACCAGTCCCTTTGATTTTGGCACCACGATGTGCTTTTCCTGCCTGGACCACGTTTGCTTTCAATCTTTCCTTGGAGGATTAAGTGAAGTATGCTGTAGTTTTCTGGGTGTCGCATCGCATGTCCAAAATATTCTAACTTTCGCTATTCGTATGGTTTTGATGATTTCCCTTGGCTTTCCCAAGCAGCTTTCAAAGCCTACGCTGAGAAAATAATCACAAAGAACGCTGCATGTATTTGAGGTTTTTTTTTTTAAAAAAAAAGTAGTCTGTGAAAGAGACATTTCTGCCGAAAGTCACAGATTGTAGATGATGCTGAATTGGGAGATAGGGAAAGTAGCAAAAAGCAAACAGATGAAGATTTTCATGACTTCTTATCTCCCCCACTTCTCAAGATAAGACTGCATTAAAAAGACAGCCAATAAAATGAACTAGATTTATACAGGGTTTATAGCACTCTTTACAGCACTCAGCGCCTTACTGTCAGCCATCAACCCTTAATGCCAGTCCTGCATACTTCACCAAAACCATTAAGGTAAAACTGTCACCTCTCCCCTTCTACCTTCACCCCCCACCACCATTGTTTTCACCCCTGTAAATATATTTATTATACTTTACTATAAGGACAAGTTCTTCATGGAGCTGAGGATTGTGGGTCTTGTACTGTTACAGATGTAACTGCAATTGTGTAGTCTTTAAGGTGCCACAAGGAAATAAGAGCCAATGTCCCATCCATACACCATCCTCCTGCTGAGAGAGAGACTGCTCACATGATGCTGTGAAGTTTGGAAGGCTGACCCCCAGCAGGAGAAAAGGTTATGCCGGTGGAGAAGCAAAGCAAAGCAAAATTCTTTACAGGTTTCTGCAGCCACAGTTGAGTTTCCCCTGTTCAAATCCACTCAGAATTGAACTGGCCTATTTACACTCTGGGTCTCTAGTCACGGATAGCAACAATGACACTTGACAAGCAACTTGCCCTAGTTTGCATCTTGCATTTGCATTGATGCCTGTATTCATCTCATAGTCATTTTTCAAATACAAAATGGTGGGCTCTGCCTCTTGGTTTGCAATAGTGACAAATATCAGAGGCTCAGGTGTAGGATGAGGGTGGAAGTTCATTCTCCGAATTTGTGGGTTGGTTTCAGAACATTTTGTTACCAGGCTAGGTAACATCTTCAACAGAATTTAGGAAATGCCAGTGTTGGTGTTCTAAATTCCACTGAAGATGTTACCTACCTGGTAAAAAAAAATGTTCAGAAACCAACCCACAAACATGGAGAACAAACCTCCACTCTTTGCCAGTTGATATATGAGCAGCCCCCACATCCAATTCCAAATGTGTTCATTGGCTCAAAAAGATTGTGGATCCTCTATTCAAAGTATCCCACCGTTCCTCTTGATTTGCTGCAGCAAATCTTCAAAAGATGAAGGATGATTGGCCTGCGAACAGAGCCAGAATATATCCCTTCAAAAGGATATTCTGGCTCTGTTTACAGGCCAGCCATATTTGCATTCAGCAGATATGTTGCTTCCTGAAACGATCAGCCTTAGCTTTGAAAGTACTGATGAAAAACAGACACCCAATCCTCGTGGTTTCCGCATAGCCATATTGCTTGGTTGCATGGGTATGCATGAGTGTGTCAAGGAGAGGCAAATGACAAACTAGAATTATGATGCCAGCTCTGCTCCTTTTTATACATGATAAAATGGTTGCATTTGTGTACGTTGTTTAAAGCCAAGAAAGTACCATTTTCAACCCAGCAGCATGACTCTCATTTTGTTGCTTTCTCTATTTCCCCTCTTTTCCTTTGTTTATTAATATACTAGCTCTATACCCGTGCTTTGTTCAAAACTGTGTAGTCAGGCTTAGTTTGGGGGGAGGAAAATAAGGGGGTGGGATTCTACCTACCAGCATCCATCGGTGTTCATCTGGCTAGTGTCCTAGCAGTGTGTGAGAGAGTTGAGAGCTGTTTGGAAACTGAAACAGTATTTGCTGTGTGAGCAAGGAGACAGCAGGGAGTCTGGGCATGGCTTAGCTCAACTGTTCTATACTAAAGCTGGTTGCTGCTGTGAAAGTAAAACTGAAACTGAAACTCCACTCCTCTGCTTGTGTTTGGCATTTGAAACAGATTCCTTTTCAGATGGGGAGGGGGAGTACAACTCCTTAGGATCAGAGCATGTTAATAATAAAATATGAAATATTAATGCTCTGATGGTCATTTCGAAAAACCCTTTCTTAGTGAGCACCTAGAAGCCAAGAGGAACATATGTGCCAAATTTTAAGTTTGTAGGCTTTATGGTTCTGGAGATTTTGTGATGATGTGCGAGTGGTATTTCATAGATAGATAGATAGATAGATAGATAGATAGA